AATTATTGCTATTTACTAAAGTGTTAACCTCCTTCTCTTATTGTACTCAACTCCGAATAAATCATTCATTACAAGAGAAGTCTTTATTTATAAACTCTTTATTTTCAAACTTTTGGGTCGGGTTGAAGTCTCGAAAATCTCAACATTGTAAAGGAACGGTGTTCATTGCTTGTAAGTCACCAGAAGCATTGTAAGAATGTTAGATTGTACCATAAGTCAATCAATATAGTGAAAAATGTCTTGCTCGTGATGGAGAGCTTGGTAACAAGGGACGTAGATCTTTCCATTGGATCGAACCTCCATATCATATCATTCGACTTCTCTTCCCTTTTACTTATCTTTGTTTTTATTTATTACTTGTGAATTTATCTTAGTCTTCGTTCCCTTTCATATTTGACTAATTGCTACATCTGAGTGAGAATAATTGTATACATAAAACTATTTTTTGAAAAAGTTACTATAACCAATTCACCCCCCTCTTGGTTAGCTAGCCTTGGGCTTTCAGCATTGGCCGTTGAAACATCGCAGTTTAGAAGAAGCAGCAGCTACAACAGGAGTGGCCAGAGTAGATGAGATAGACGGAGCAATAGGCAAGACCATATCAGTAGAATGAACCCGACGAGTTTGTTGTCGTGTTTCCTTAGAAATTAACTCCGTAAGGGCAACCTCAAGTGTAGGAAGAGGAGATCGATGAACAAAGATGCTTGAGTATTCTCAAATTCATCCCGGATATGCATCATAAAATACATGAACTGATGACGATTACAATATTCAGCGAAAAGCTTAATCGACTTCTCATCAAAAAAAGCAGGGTCAACTTGAGAAAGCTGATCCCAAATGCTACTAACCAGAGTATTAAACTCAGCGATAGACTGTCCAGGTTCTTGACGATCTGGGAAAGCTTAGTCTCCAACTGAAACTCTAGAGCAGCATTACTACCACAGTTGTAGCGTTTTGCAAAAAATTCCAAGCAGATTTGGCATTCCGAAACTTAGGGAGTAGACTCTGAATAGAAGGGGCTGATGTATTAATAAACCAGGAAATGATCTTACAGTGAGTACTTTCTCTTTCATCAAGGGCCTCATCAAACTCCTCTGCGGATTGCTTGTCAGTTTTCGTGGGTTTTTGTGTTGTTCCAGTGAGAAAACAGCATAATCTCGGACCAATCAGAAAAACTGACATTTGTTGGGCCCAAGCATTATAGTTGGAGCCATTCAAAACAATCTCTATAAGACTAGCAACATCATTTGAAAAAGCCACAATAGAAATTGATAATGTTAACCGAGTTAGAGCAAAACGATAGCATTGATGGAATGAGCACGAAAAATTGGCCAGAAAAGTGGCTGGAAGCTCACTGGAGATGATGACGAGC